GTTCTCCAGACATTAGATCACATGTCGTCCACTAATGCAAACCTTATTCCACTCCGGATCTCGTGCAGGCCGAGGTTTTCTGCTTATGCTGTTCAATAGTATATCTACTACCAGCCGTGCTATCCTCCTCGTAACGTCAGATGGCCGGCTCTAGATGTTTCGACAATTGATGATCGCTCACCGGTCCGTACATTGCGACAAAGTCTAGATGACAGGAGCGTAGGTTCGCCGACTCCATGGCAACATGGTTTAACCTAGCCGCCACTGACCGCTTATGAGCTGTCACAGAACGTGAAATTGCCAAACTCTCGTTGACGATATGACTGCTGATGCTGTGAAAGATGAGATATGACGTTGCGTTTTCGTCAGAGAGCACCAATTCCACGTCTGTACCATCTCAAACAGGTAAATCCCTCGAAATTCACGCTTTGGTCCCTGAAGCCTTGAGGACGGCGCAAAGGTTCAAGCGCTTGGTTTCCCTCATCAGCCGTAGATTCACCTTAGCTCGCACCTTGCGAACCACGTCGACTGTTGAGGAGCTCGCTGGGAGATTATGCCACACCAAGTACAAAGCTTGATGGAGTGGCTGAGTTACCTCTGGACCGGTGCTGCACGATGCCTTGCCCGCTGGATGCCATCTCATCAACATCTCGTTCGAGAACCAGGGACAGGCCCTATGCTTTGAAAATTGAGTTACTGGGTCCCGGTTGATGCGAACTGGCGACTCGGTTGTCGATCCGTCAGAGCGGTAGGCTCATTCGACATAGTCTACAGATCTTGAGAGGTGCTCAATCTCGCAGGTGAAGTCGACCCTCACGAAAACCCAATGCATTAGCTGGAACACAGCCAAGTCGTTATTCTGTTTTTACCGCATCTACATGGCTGCACAGCTTCGGTAGCTTGGTTTCTCTGAAAGCCGTGCCATGGAACGCCAGTGCAGTATCTGGCCAGTGTACCGTCCACTGCGGCGATTCAAGCAGACATGATCTTGTCGTTGGTGTGGGAACAAGTCCGATGATGCGCTCCCCTGCAGACCAGGCAGACTTGCGACTACTGTTGTCAGCAAGCATACGCCTATCGGGATGCAGCATCATTGCTTGCTTGGTCGCACGACAGCCAATACACTCACCGATGGATGCATCGGCAGTTTGTCTCTAGCCGAGAGGGTGAATCACAGTATATACTGTCATGTCGTGCATGGAAGCGTCGACTCTGCTAGCCAATGACGATGCGATGCTGCCATCGTGAACGGTGTCGAGATTTGCGATCAACAGTTCGTCCAATATCTACAGCGTCAAAACGATATGCAATTGCGCATAAAAGATTGACCACTAACGGGAACGCCCTGCGTAGGTATACAAGGAGGACGACCGAGGGATGTCGACTAAACGGGGCGGCCATTGATGGACAACGCATCCACGGATAGCTGCTTCGTGGACACACCACATACCGCACAGCAGCGCATTGCACAAGTGATGCTGCCCAAGAACATGTCGTGAGCTGGCTCGAGTGACAACAAAGCTCCTGCACCCTGCGCTTATCTCCTCGATGCGATCCACCGACAACGAGATGGAGTTGCAGGATATCGATGACGTTGAAGAGTCGCCATTGAGGTGCAGCGTGTCGAGTAAGGCGTACTGCTGTCAGTCGTCATCACAGCTTCTCATGTCGTTTCAATTTCCACGCCCGTTGCTGTTGTCATGTGTCGCCGTTCGCTCTTGCCGTCTTCGGAGCACATCTCGCAGTTGCCTCGATTACGTAGGCCAGACAAGCCCAATGACAGCGAGGGTTCGTGCAGTTACCAGGGGCCATGCAGAACATAGTTCCTGTCGTGGAACCCTCCAGCACATCGCTTTTGCCTTGCCACGAACACTTGCATTCTGCCCCCGATACACGAAATCCACGTCGGCTAGTATTCTGGAGGAATGCGCTGCAGGGAGCTCGAAACGACCGTTGCCCGCGTCGCGTCGACGTGTTCAGACGAGAGCTTTTCGATGCTCCAGGTCGGCGGTGCGCGGGCTTGAGAAATAGCTTTTGGCCACCTCACCTTGCCGCATCGGAGACTTTTGTACCTTCAACAAATGCTCTTTCTCTCCTCCCCTGGGCCTCGCAGGGACCGACGCAAGACGATGCTAGCGACAGGTTGATCCCCGCCTCTGGAATGCGAAGGCAATGATGTGTAGCTGCTGGAGCGTCTGCAGTGGCGGCACCTCTCAGCTTGGATGGACGTCCACTTGCAACTAGGCGGGAAGCCAAGCACTGCACCAGTCGGGCTATATAACCATCAAGCAGCGTCGAGGTAGGTCTCACGCGAGACCTGTCGTCACTCCTGACCTGTGTACCGGCCCATGATTCAAGCAGCATAGCTTGCGCCGGAACTCCAGGCTGAGCCGAACAAAAACAACCATCTTCTTCCCTCAGCAGCGCCAGCGAGGTAAGCTCCAGAACCGCGCGTAGCATCAATGCGTCAGCACGTGTCCTGTTCACACCACAGCTAGGGGAGGCGTAAACGAGCGGGCGTCGTATACGGCGCTTAGGGGCATGAAACGGTTTGGTGCTGACCGTGCGATAGGCTTCCTTGACGAGTCTCGCGCGGGCGCTTCTCACGATCCCTCATGCAGATCTCTGGCTATTTGACATCCTGCCGAAGTCAGACGTAAGCTGGATCCTTGCTTTTGCCAAAGCGAATGACCATCCGAGCTTGGTCACACAGAGCTAGACAACACTCAACACGATTCGGCATCTTGCCGGAGCTACGGGATCCACCACCTATACATACGCCATCAAAACCACTCGTAGAACAGAGCAGAGCCACGCCGAGCGCTCATCTCCGCCGACCGACCGCGAGCGCATCGAGCGCATCACCGACGATATGCCACCCGCGAGCGACTCCTTCATGCCCCTCAACATTGAAGACGACGTCGTGCCAGAATGGCTGGATTCCTTTACTCTGGTTGCGCCCCCAAACACCGATCTATGGAGAAGGCCATCTTCGGGCGACATCTCAACCGCTCCCATGCTCTACACTGCCTTGAGCAATCCCTTCATCGTAGCAGAAGTCACGGTCAAGGGAGACTGGCAGCTTGAATGGGATCAAGGAGGGCTGGTAATATTCGCAGGCGCACCGCCAGGACAGACAGCGACGGCATCAACAACCGCAACGCCGACATTGCAGGTCCCAGATGTTGCAAACATCCGGTTGGACGACAGCGCGACGCCGAGCTCCGCCATCTCACTCTCGCAAACCTCAAGTAATGAGAATGTTGAAAGCTGCGACACGACAGCTTCACACAGCCCAACAGACGAGTCAGGACCCAGCCCCCAACTAGAACGTGGGCCCCCACCACCATACGACGCTCCTGCGCCAGCACCCAAGTGGGTGAAAGTCGGGCTTGAGTTCTGCGGCAACGTATGCCACGCTACAGCTGTAGCCGCCAATAGTGAAGGTGCCGATTGGTCTTTGAGTTCGCTTCCTCCGCTTCAACAACGGCTCAAGGAACTGCGCGTCAAGATGGAGCGCATCGGCTACGCGCTGTGGGTGTCGTACGAGGAAGAACCGGGGATTTGGAGGAAATTGAGAGAAGTCACTTGGTTCTTCTGGGGTGTAGAAGACAAGGCCGTACGCGTTGGCGTCTACGCGAGTCGACCTGCAAACTTTGGCATCACCATGTGGGATCACAGACACCGTGTGGGACTCAGCAACGAACAGCGAAATTTATACGTCGAATTTGAAGATCTGGAGATCCACTAACCAGGCACGTCGCCCTGTTTATTTCTGTCGGTCTATCGTTGCATGCAGCGGCTGTTTGTGCAGCCCAGGATCACGAGCAGATGCTCTCTTTGCTTCACACATCCCTAGCATGTCTACATCTCTAATCGTCTTTTCGGCCCCCTACTTCGTAATCAGTTTTGAGTTTCGGTTCTATGTACCTATTCGCTTTTCGCCGTTCGCGGCGTTGCCTCGGCGCTTGCCACCATCTTCAGCTCATCGCAGCGTCGCATCCATCTGTGGCGACAATACCTGCACTGCAACTTCTCGCATACATATAGGGCTCATCTTACTGTAACCGCCTCTTTTTCTCACGGATGACGGATCCTGTTGAGCGCAGATCTATAATCCCGTTCTCGGCTCTGTCATCACATTCAGTTTTGCTTGCCATCTACCATCTATCTATTTACATAATAACACAACTATTTGGTACCTATGTATACACGCTGCAATGTAGGATTCTCAGTGCGACCTAGACCTCGCGCAAGAACGTGAGGCGGATGCGCCTTGCATATGGAATGGTGATGATCGGTACTCAGGCGGAGCTGGCGCGTTTGGTGTCGGGTCTTCACGCCGCCCCGGTGCCCTTCACAGACGATGTACACTCAGCACACTAAAGTACCAACACAGGAGAGGGATCACAGTCTCGATCGATCCAAGTACTTGAATGGCAGGCCCGAATGATGCGTGCAAACGACAAAGCTGATGTTGAATCTCGCAACTTTGAGAGACATGCTACTTCCACGACGAGTACCAGGGAGTTACGGATACGATTCATGGCCAATCCCCATTGAGTGTTCACGTCGAATAAACCTAAGTTTTCTGGTCGCTTTGAGGAGCTACCTACTCGATCCTTCCCGGTTGGCTGGTCTTCCACCCAGAACCCCGTACTAGGGAACAATGATGTTGTTTGCCTATATCCTGTTGGCCCTTGTGTACCATGCAGCTTGTGGATACGGCGATATCATGAAGGCTCGTCAGGCAGAGTATACTATGACTAAGGACGCTCACGGGAGCTACACCACAGCTCCGTTGGTAGAAAGAACGACTATTTTCCCTGCATCCTCATCCAATGCGGTCAGCACTCAGACCTTTAGCTCCCAGCCATCTCAGTCCGTACTACCGGCCAGTGTGCCCCCCACAGTTGCCTGCTGGGCGACACCGTACTGCGATTCTATCCTCGTGGACTTTGCGCACTGCTACAATATCTCTGGAACGCTGAAAAGTCCCAATGGCGACGATGGACGAAGCGAAGTTTACCAACGCTGTCTCTGCAACGACCGAGGAACTGTGTACAAAGAGTAAGCGTCCCTCAAATCACATCCCTCTCCGGCCTCCTCTAACCGACCAACAGCATCCTCACAAACTACCAAGAGCAAAACACAGACAACGTAACGCAGTGCTACGCATGCATGAAGCAAGCCGGAATCGAAGTAGACAAGAACAGCGAACCCAGCCTACAAATGCGGTACAAGATCCATAATTTCTGCAACACCGCAGTCCCGAACCTATACGATATACTCGCTCTATTCCTCGTCTGGCTCAAGTCCACCGACGAGCCCGTGGACAACAACACCGAGCTGGGCAACATACCCTCGATAACTACTCTGGCCGATCGCTTCACAAAGACAGATGTAAATCAAGCTACTACAACGGTAGCCAGCTCGGCTCGGAACACGGAGACGTCATGGCTTGGGAGTACGCTTTCTTCCGGCGATATGATACCGACGCAGTACTTACAGCAACTACCGAAGCACTGGCCGTATACAAGCTACGGCGCGGCAAGAAAGGCAGGCCAGACTACCTCGTTCCCGTTGACAGATCCCAATTCGACAAGTCAAACGGTGGCATGGCTATTCCATGAGATGCTGTGGAATCCACGACCGCTTTTCACTCCGCCGTCAGCGAGAGGAGAGGAGTATGAACCAGGGCTTGCGGACTGGACACCGGCGTTCTCGAACGGTGATGCCCTGACTGCTATCCCTTCTACTTCCGCCGCACCCGTCATCTCAACGACGAACGTCGAGTCGAGCACATCGGATCCCACAGCGACGGCAGCATCAGAAGGGACGATGACGTCGAGTACTTCCATGACTTCGGCCACGCTGTCTATATCTACGAAGACCGCTGTTCTTACAACGTCCGTCATCATGTCCACGTCTATGTTGATATCCTCCTCGGATGCGCTTCCAACAACAGCATTACCGCCGACCTCTTCGTCTTCTCCACCTCCTCCTTCTTCTTCTTCACTCACCTCACAGGCGCTCGTTCCTAATCGTCCAGAGTACACACAATACCCTGTTCTGAGCAAACCACACGATGCGAGAGACGTCACGACTGCATCATCTCGAAAGGCACTTGTAGATGCCATGGCTGGGCCTAGGCAGGAAACTGGGGACGAGGAGTCAATTGAGCAATTGTGGGGTGAGATAAGAAGGGTGAAGAAAGAGATGAATCGCTGATATTCGATCGCGAGAATGCAACAGAGGGGAAGATGTAACAACAAACCAATATAAAGGCTATTCGTGTCATAATTACGTATTAACTATCTGTTCTACTTATGATACCACCTCCCAAAATGAAGGGGTTTTTCTAGACACGCTTTATACCAAAAACGCCAACCCATGCCCCTATATACAAGTCCTGTAATGTGACTCCATGAAGCGTATATACATAATGCCATCTACTTCTTCTTTCTTGGGCTTCGGCTTCACTACCGCTTCACCTCCGCAACAAGGTACGGCCCAATCACGCAAATAGCGGTCCAGACCACCATCGCACTCTCAACAAGAATCGTGTACGGCGTCTTCCAGATAGGCACCTCCTGCAACCTGACGTAAATCGCGTAGAACGCAACGTAGAAGAAGTGGTAGACAAGCATCCAAGGGCGCGTGATCAATCCCGCAAGCATACCACAGGGTTCACTGACGCTCTTTCCTCCGCGCAGGAAGTACTTGAAACAGCCCTTCTTGATCAGCTCGAGGTACTGGTTGTTGGCGGCGAAGAGGCTGTACAAAGCCATGGCCAGGATGTTGATGACGGATGACCCGTCCTTGCGCTTCCAGTGGAAGGTCGACATGGCGGCGAGGACGGCAGAGGTGTCTTCTAGTGTGGGTACGTTGGCGGGAGAGAGGAGGTTGGAGAGTAGGACGACGTCGTTGAACGCGACTGTCATGCCGCCGCCGGTCAGGGGATGGCGCATGTTCATTGAATCGCCGAGGAAGATGAGGCCGGCTTGTTTTTGCGTCGTAGGGGGTAGGAAGCTGTTGGGCATGGAGCGTAGTTTACCCGCTTCAATTGCTTTGCGGAAGGCGGGCTGGACGCAGGCGGGAAGCTGGGGCAGCGCGACATTGAGCATGTGGTTCTTGACACCCCCGTTCTTGGGGCTCGCCGAAGGCAGGTGCTCGGGTATGTCGACAAGAATGCGCGTCTCGTGTGTGCCGATTTGGTAGATGAGGATGGGGGGTGCGTCGGCGAGGATGACGTGGCCGTGGTTGGGCATGGGCAGCTCGGCGTCGATCATTTCGAGGCCCCAGAATTTACTGCGCACTTGGGGTTGGTTGGGGATGTATTCTTTGCGGAACTTAGAGGCGTAGCCGTCGGCTACGAGGGTCACGGCGCCAAAGTAGTAGTCTTGCTCCCCGGCGGTTTGACATGACACGCCGACGACTTGGCCGGTGTAGTCGCTCTTGACGACGGATGTGACGGTGGTCTCGACGACGGTGACATTTGGTGTGGACTGGGCCTTTGCTCGCAGTTTGGAGATGAAGCGGCCGTGGTGGAAGGAGCGTCCTTCGGGTGCTCTCGAGGGTCCGGAGGTGATGAGGTTGTCGGGGTAGGGGATGTGGACCTCCTCTTTGCCGTAGAAGATCTGGTAGCCGTGGCAGGGTATCGCATCGATGTCGTCGAGGCAATCTGGGGCTTGCTGTCAGCGTTTCACCCTAGACGTGTGCTAGGAATGATTCAACGTACCCCTCATACCCAGCTTCTCCAGAGCATTGACACCACCCGGCTGTAGCAGCTCTCCTACAATCCTGTCCGGCTCCTTCAAGCTCTTCTCCAGCAGTATGACGCTTCGGCCCTGCTTGCCGAATGCGACAGCAGCTGCGCACCCCACGATGCCCGCGCCGATGATGACGACATCGGCTTCATGGTGCACGCGCCGCCTCTCTTCGCGGGAATCGCATGTGTGTGTGGCTTCGATGGTAGGGACGGATTGGGTCGATGTGCCTCTGTGTCGCAGCTGGGGTGACGGCGAGGCAGAAACTCCAGGCGGGAGCTCTGCAAGCTTGGAACCGGAGTACATTGTGAGCATGGTTGCGGTTGCTGGGGTCTGTGGAAAGACCCTGTTGAGTGAAAGGTAAAGTTGATTGCGCAGAGGAAGGTGCGTTCCAAACTCAGTGGGGCGGGTGAGGCGCCGCGATAAATACTGGGCGATGTGCAGCGTGGAGAAGGAGTGTGTGTGGAGAAGTCAATCAGCCTCGTCGAAACGTCACACGGGCGGCGCGAGGGTAGAAATAAACTTCGCGGAACGTCAGGTCTCGTGCAGATCAAGGGTCCGGCATGCAACCGCGTCGTCGTGAGAACGAATCCGAGTGGCGACCTCACGATCTTAAGCCGCGAGATTGATTACAGGGATCGCGCTCACCGCCATGGCCCTTTCTGCCAGGGGTATCACTCCCGCCTGGGCGATGTGGTGTGAAGATCATCTCATCTTGTCGGAATCCGATCTTGCTCGGCTTTTCCTCGAACCATGGCTGGTCTTCGGGCGGGTCTTCGGGCGGGTCTTCGGTCTCCGGAAGGTGTATGTGTTGTTCGTGAAGGGTGATTGTAGGGTGGGTCGGCAAAGACATGCACCTGCATAACATTCACGTGTTGGCTACCAGGAACCCGCATCAAACTTAGAATCGTCGCAGGCACACCACAGCGACAAGTAGTCCATGCAAATCTCCTCTCTATGTGGTATATACGTTTCGCACAAACTCTATACATTGGGAATTCAGAAAGCAACTCTGCCGAGCTGAGTATATTCAAAGCGCTGCACAAATGGTGCCGCGTACGCTACGGTAGTTAATAGAAATTACAAATAAAGCCAGTACATGGTGTAATGTGAGTATATAGTGGTAATGAAGCAAGCATGCGTCTCGTCGTGGTGAACCTTCCGCCTTTTTGCCTTTGCCCACACAAGTCCGATTAATCCCCGAATCGTCCAAGCCATTGTGTCGTCAATGTGTGCCAGATAATCCGCCCAAACGAAGAAAAGATAGGAACGAAGAGCCCCAAAGAATGTGCCAGTACGCCTTCAAGGCCCAAGGAAACGTCTCGCCAATGAGGGGCCTCCGCAATGCGTAAGAATTGGAAGGGACGACCGGTGGAAGTTGTATGTACATATGTACAAATATACACAAGATCATGAGTACGTCTTGATGTGTTGCTGAAGCTTGGCGGTATTGCTATCCAAGGCGTCTAGAAGGCAGAGCCGGGGCGCTGGCTCGAGGGGGGGAACATCGGCGACGCCATTGGGGTATCGACTTCCATGATGGTGGATTGCCGGTCAGCGAATTGTGTCTTGGCGTCGACAGGCTGGGCTGGGCCAAGGTGCGAGTTGCGGTAGTATGCCTCGTAAAACTCGCTGAGTCGAGCATCCTGCCCCTGTTGACCCGGTGCAAGCAGGTTGCTTGAGTGGGGACGGCGTTCCGCCTCGTCGTCAGTAGACGCAAGGATCGATGTGTGGCCGGATTCGACTGTCGAGGCGGCAGAGGCTGAGCGTCCCGCCTTTTGCTTTTGCAAAACCTGAGTAGGCGAATCCTTCTTTTGCGCTGCCTCCTGATAAGCTTGGTATGCTTGGAAAGTGCTTAGCCGGTTGCCACTGCTGTAGATGCTGCTCGCGTCGCTTCCGTCTCGTTCATGGTGTGGCGAGTAGGTTCGTGCCTGTAGTTGGGGTTGGAGAGCGGGTGACGAAGGTTCAGAGTCTTGGAAGAAAGTTAGGGATGGCCCGATATATATCTACTAAATGCTAAAAGTACAACAGACAACGCACCAGGAAATCGCGTTACCTACTCGGCTCGTGGACCTGCACGCGAGGGTAGTCGTACTCGGGCGATGGAGAGCGGGACTCCTTCCGCAAAGCATGGCCAGGGATGGATGGCAACTTGGCTGTGGGTGGGTTGTGGGGCGAAAGCGGTGTTGGTGATTGACCAGGCGAGTTGTGGTAGGATCCTTGCTGTGACTTGATGGCGTTCGCATCTCCGGAGTGGTGCGATACCATGAGAGCTGGTGCGTATTGCTGACGGTTCAAATCGGCTGGTGACATGGACCGAGGAGATGTGAAACCGTCGCTGTCGCTGTCGGAGCCAGCAAAGTCAGGAGAGGTGGTACCACGCGGGTGACCGGGCGAAGGAGGAACTTGAAGAGACATGTCGACAGCGCCGTTGTGGTTGCGTCTTCCACTGAGCTCGGCCTCAGATGGGCGGAGCTTCATGGTAGGCGGTGAAGCTCGTCGTGTGGAGGGTTCTTTGGTGGCGTTGAGGTTCAGGCTGAGCATGCTGTTGTTGTTGGACTGTCCCTTCATGAGCGGCGAGTTGACGCTCCCTCCGACCAAGGTGCTGGTGCTCATTGTTGGGTTATCGCCCATGACAGATCCTGCTCTTGAGGTAGGTCGCGACTGAGCGACTCCGGCGTAGAATCCGGCCTCGATGGCGCGAATACCAAACAGATCACCCTCATCCTTCTCGCGTTGGTTCAGTTCAACAGTGTCCTCCTTGGGTCCAGCCTCTAGCTCGGTTTGCTTCGCTTTCTTCAACCTTGCTATTGTTAGTTCACGTCAAGATGGTGTCAATATTGGTACTTACTTCTGACGGTTGT